AAATGACGGCTCTAGCAATGGACTTCTGTCTTGACCCATTAACTTACAAGGTAAAATAAAACGAATCTCACAAATAGCGCAATAATCTTGAATTGGTTGTTGGTTGGGTTGGTGTGTTTGTTTTTGCAACACATCACTTTCCCCTGGCACCAGGTAGGATGTCTGTCCCAGCCATGGCCATACCAACAGAGCCAAGCGGAAGAGTTTTGGGTTATCACATCCATAAAATTGCCCCAGTTCTTTCATCTTACTGAAGAACTTCATTTTAGTCTATGAGATGATCATTAACCTTCCTGCTCTAAGGCTCTACTAGACTATGACTCGAATATTATCATGGACCTTTTCTAAGGAGAAAGCGGCTTCTCTTTACGTATTACAACCGTATCAACCCAATGGAAGGGTAACTGAGTTTCTCCCCTGTCTAAAGTGACCCTTCAGATCCTGAACCATTGGCACTCAGTGCTGTCACGTTATTTAACCCAGGTTAGTCATGGGGCCAGCCTGCCAGTGTGGAAGCATCAGTTGACTGCTTGACAGTTTTCCTCAATAAGCCCCCAAGTGATCAATGCGCCAGCCTGCTGAGAAAACCTATAAAAATCTCTTGTCAGTTGTATAACTCCGTGGTGGCCACACGGGCAAGTGGGAAGGCTGGAGAGCAGAACTTTGCGCTTGAAGTTCCTCACATCCTACCGCACAGATTTTAGGCCACGACCCAGCATCCTAGAGGCAACCGTGAACTAAATTCCTGTGCGGCCTGGCAGCCCACAGAAGACTTGCTTTTCCCAAGCTGCCTCTCGGGACTCCTCTCTGTTGCTGCTGTCCTCGCGTTCCCCCGCATTCCTGACTGAAAATAAGAACTTACGACTGAAGTGATAAAGATACGCAGCCTTGTAACAACACAGTGAAGCCCAAGGGACAGGTAAGAGAATTTCTGAGGCTGCCCAATAAGAACGTTATATAGAAATTCTTTCCTGTTATACAGGAAAATCCCTTCGAACATGAGGATTAGAAGGGACTTCAGGAGCCGCATGACCCATGTGGAGAAGGAAACCCAAAGCCCCTCAGTAATCCTGCTTGCTCAGCGTGTGCAGGCCCGCGTCACCCAAGGACTCACTGTCACTGGAGATAATGTGGTCTGGAGTCCTCTCTCACTGTTAGGAAACTGTTCGTGAAACCCAGTGCAGTAGCCATCGCCAGCCAACCTGCAGGAGGCAGTGATGTCTCAGCACGGAAGCCAAACTACTGCAACTGCTTCTGTCATGGTCCCCGGGTCACCTGGAATCCCGGATGACCTCCGGATCACTAAACTCTGTGTCTGGGGAGGAGAAATATGACTTCATTTCTCTAGAGCTGCCTCTTTCGGAGGGAGTTCCCTCAGCACAGCCACTGAGGTCTTACTGCCTTAGTTCTTTTCTGCTCTGACCGCGAGGGTCAGAGGGCTAGCTGAAGTGCTGAAGGATGGTGGGCAGTGCAGGAAACCAGCAAGAACTTGTTTCTGGCAGAACTAGAAGGGGTTTCTGTATGGGCTGAGGAAGGGCTGTCGGGGGATGTTACAGAATGAAAACGCCTGCGGAGCACACGTTACATCACCCCGTGACTTACCCGGGATGTGTCGGGAATATGTTTACACACAATGATGAAGTATGAGAGCTGGAGCTGGTTTGTGGAGACGCTCCGTCACCAAAGGGGGCTCTTCCAGGCCATCCTGGGTGAGCTCAGGTGAGGCCATGTGGTTAGCTGTGAGTGACAAGTTCTAGATCACTTCTGGCTCTGAGGCAGTCTATCCCTAGTGCCTGGTTGGACAAATTCCAAACTCTTCCTTCTCACAGCTCCCATCACAGACGGGCAGTGTGGGCCTGGGGAAGCTGACCACGGGGCTTCCGACAAACCATGCATCTTGGTCGTGAGCCCCTCAGAGGGGCCACAGGAGACTTCTCTGGTAATGTCCTCTGAGTATATTTTTAAATATTTGTAAGACCAACAACTGCATATTTTTGTTGTTCAAACTGCACGTGATACGCACATTTCACCTTTTATCTGTAGCCGGAACAACCTCTGATTCCAGGCCTGCCGTTCTCTCTGCCCACGTGATGGCTGCCTTTAGCTGTGT